AGAGGTTTTTGCTATAGGGCGCATGCACTCGCCAGAAAGACAGAGAGAGACAGAGAGACAGAAAGCGAGAAATCACCCCCCAGGGGGGATGGCCACGCCGCAATCCCTTCTCCTCCATTCTCCTCTCGGGATCTTGGGCACGCACGCACACGTGTCCCACGGATTACTAAGAGGCTACAGGGCTGGCCCGTGGTGTGGGGAAGGCAGCTGGATCTGACATGGCTGACCTGGAGACACGAGTCCCAGACCCAGTGGCTTGAGAAACATGCTGGTGCATGTGTGTGCATGTTCAAAATCCAGGAAGAGGGACCAGCAGTTAGCGTAGTGGCTATGCCTTTGGACTCCCATGTAGTCGATCGCGGTTCGAGTCCCGGACCTGGTGGCTTAAACTCACACGGGGCGCGTGTGTGTGCATGCCCAAGATCCCAAGAGGAGAATGGAAGAGAAGAGATTGCGGCATGGCCATCCCCCCGGGGGGGGGTGATTTCTCACTTTCTGTCTCTCTGTCTCTCTCTGTCTTTCTGGCGAGCGCATGCGCCCTATAGTGAAACCTCTAAAAAAAAAAAAAAAAATCATTAACAAAATCCAGGAAGAAGGGGAAAGTGGAGAAAGGGTGGAGTGTGACCATGTCCATGGTGGGGGGGTGCTTTGTCACATTGCCCCCACCGCTATCTCTGTCTCTCTCCAGCAAGCTCAAGTGTTTTTGATCAAAATCAAAAAAAAAAAAAAAAAGAAAAAAGAAAAAAAAAAAGAGGCTCTTCCATATAGCCTGGGTGTGTAGGCTATAACATTAGGTTTGCTTAAGAATCCCTTGGGATGGGAACCAGCAGTTAGCGTAATGGCTATGTCGCTGGACTCCCACGTAGTCGACCGTGGTTCGCGTCCCGGACCCGGTGGCTTAAAACTCACGCCGGGCGCGTGTGCGTACGTGCCCAAGATCCCGAGAGGAGAATGGAGGAGAAGGGATTGCGGCGTGACCACCCCCCCTGGGGGGTGATTTCTCGCTTTCTGTCTCTCTGTCTGTCTGGCGAGCGCACGCGCCCTATAGCGAAAAAAACCTCTCAAAAAAAAAAAAAAAAAAGAATCCCTTGGGATGATTGCAGGATTAAATGGCCTAATGACGCTTTTCTCAAACCCCCTTATTAAGCTGGGTATGACTGTGTTCGTAAGTGCCTGTGCATTCCCCAGTTGAGTTCCTTTTATGTCTCATTGCCAGAGGGCATGGTGCTTGCCAGAGACAGACAGGGAGGTGGAGAGGAAGAAAGCACGCCCTACCGGGGGTGTGTGGTCATGCTCCAACCCCTCCCCTCCATTTCTCCACTGGGTCAGGATTTGGGGAACACACACACATGTGCTGAGTGTGGTTGTTAGCCACCAGGGCTGGGATGGGAACCACGTCAGGCATGTGGGATTCGGCTTCCTCAACTCAGTTTTTAAGTACCCTTCATTCAAAAGGAAACCTTCTATCACTTTCCTTAAATAGAAGGTAACAATGTCTACACCCTGATATTATTTCATTCTAGCTAGGTAGTATTATCCAGGAAACCACTGAGCCTGAGAACAGAATCTCTGCTGTTAA